ACACATAAACCTAACTATCCTCTCCGTCCTATCATATCGCAAATTCCAACTCCTGTATATCATCTAACAAAATACATCAACCAACTTATTACTCCCTATCTTCTAGTAAATATAGTGTTAAGTCAACATTAGAAGTAATCCAAATCCTAAAAAGTGAAAAACCTGACAATGAAATCATGGCTTCAATTATGTTGAAAACTTATTTACCAATGTCCTGTTAGTGAAAAACTTTGACATAATCATAAAAATATATACAGTAAATTCTTTACCCCACTTAAAATTAATCCTAATATATTAAGAAAACTACTAATAACTTGTACTAATCATAATAACGTTGGTGTCTCCATGGTTCAGTATTGGGCCCGACATTTAGCAATTTCTACATGTCGAACCTTGAAAATAAGTTATTTACAGATTTAAAAAACCATCAATCTACCTAAGATACGTTGATGATATTCTTATGTTAGTTAAAAATACAGATGAAATAATTCAACTTCAAAAACGGTTCCAAAATAATTCTGTCCTTAAATTCACATATGAACTTACTCTATTGATAAACACAAATAATAACAAATTTACTATTTCGCCATACAAAAACCCTACAAGCATAAATTCATGTACACTTAACTACAAGAGTTATTACTACAAAATAGCAATTATAAAGAATCTAATACATCGTGCAGAAACTAATTCATCCACCAAACATTTTTTTTTTAATGAACTAAAGAATATAAAACAGACACTTATTAATAATAGCCAAAAGTATATAGTTGATGAACAAATAAGATGCTTTCTTAGAAATCTCAATAAGTTGTACATAATACTGTTTACCGATCTCAAATATTTAATCTCCTATATCGTAATCAAATGCATACTAATTATAAACAAGATGAACACATACTAAAAAAATTAGTAAATTAATATATCAACTACAGATCCTAAAAAAATTAAATTAATCATATAGACACTAAATCTAGTATACCCAACTTAATACTTCGCAATGATTCTTCTCCCCGGTTAGCGATTTGCAAAAAACAACATAGTTTATAAATTCAACCATTTTGGGAGAGTGTATCCAACGAATTAAATAATATTTATGTTGGTCACACCACAAACTCGCTTTCACGATGCTTGACACTACATTTTAATGAAAACTTTTTTAGGCATTTAAAACAACATGCCTGCCCACACACATTCCGTAAAATAAAAACAACTAATTTCAAATGAAAACAATAGACAAAAACTAAAAATACTTGAAGCATTATACATTAAACAGTTAAAAACCCAACCTAAACAAAATCAACTATGGAATCTCTATATTCTTAAAATCTAGGTAAAAAGCCGTTGGTGGCTTTCCTTATTTCATTCTACAATTCACTATATATGTGACGTCATGAGATGTGTTCTAGCGTGTGTTCATCGTTGCTTAGATCCACTGTAAACAAAAACAAAGACAGATTATCATCGCTGTCGTGTGTCCGTATATTTGTTTGATATGTTTGTAATTACATCTTTGATAATGGCTTGAAAGCCGAAAGCTTAGATTTTATTAAAAAATAATGGATAAATATTGTGAATTTTTTTCGGTTAATGATAATGTTACCAAACTTCAGAAGATATGAAAAATTTTACATAAAATAGACAACACTTTCTATATTATTTAATGAAACGTTATAAATATATATATATATATATATGTGTGTGTGCGTGTGTGTGTGTGTGTGTGTATTCAAACAATAGGAAAGAACGGTCAGATTTATAATACACACTTCTTTAGTATTCATTTTTTTTATTAATAAACAGTGCTCGATACAAGGTAGATATATATATATATATATATATATATATATATATATATATATATATGTATGTATGAGTAGCTCAATGTATTGAAATATGTATCATTGCATATGAGTACGATTATTCTGTGAAAATTCTTTGTTTAGAACTTAATGAAAATAGATTTTTTTGCTAAGGCATACCTGGAATCTCATTTTTGAGAAGAGACCAAACCGGTTTCACCGATAATTTCTTGCCTAGGATACTTTTTTTCTTTTCTCTCCTCGTCTATCATTACAGCGAACAAAGTTTACGATTACAATTACGATTAAATGGACTGGTGATTTGATGTTCGATTCGTGTCTTGTCTTACAAATAAGCCTCTGCCGCAAACGTAAAAGCCACCCGCTGAGGAAAGAATTTAGCAACAACGAAAGCCCAACCTTTCGACGGCTCTAGTTATGTTTATTAAAAAAAAAAAAAACTGACATCAAATACTCAGCACAGGATTTTAGAAACAGTCCGTAGTTTGACTTTTTCGGTTCGTAAATAAAATGTGTGTTTTCATCATTTTGGAATTCGACATCTTTTTTTGTGTGTTGTCCTAGGTATATAATATTATTACTTATTTATCATCTCATCTGTCACTGTCGACCTTGGTTGGACACGTATCAGAAATTTATCCCATAATTTACGCTCTTCCATAGCTTTCAGTAGGTTGTCTATTTTCACACTTGTATCTTTAATTAGTTGGTCGATGTATATTCAGGTCGGGCACCTACACTACCCTTTTCCAGAAGGATGATCCAACGATATGATTGTTCGAATAATTTCATGCTCCTTGCACAGTGTTCTTAGAACCGTAGCCTTCTCTCTGCGATGGTAGCTGTTATTTTTGGCAGATCACTTTAAGGATATTTGTTGGGAAAATGCTGATGTCATTTGATATATTCTGCTGCTTTATACGTTTTTGTGGATGCAACATTTAGCGGCTCAACAGTCAGAGACCATCAGCCTGGTCCAGACGTACTGTTTATCATTTATCTTATTTACATCGTTCAGACGGTTATCCTCATCTTTATTATCATGTTCACGACGTTTCAGTCATTGTAAGCTCCAGCCTTCTTCAGCTGATTGAAATTTCGAAATAAACACTATATTTCGTCCACCGGGGTAGATTTTTTCTTGTTCCACGTTCAATCTAACCCGGTGGACAAAATAAAACGTTTAGTTCGAAATTCCAAACATCTGAAGAAGGTTGGAGCGTAAAGACGCCGAAACGTCGTGAATATGACAATAAAGATGAGGACAACAGTCCGAACAGTGTAAATAATGTAAATAATTATAATATCAAATCTCAAAATGTACTTTTTGATGGTCGGTAGGTTGTTTTGTTAGTGGTATATTTAAACCGTATAGCTTATTTAATGTCGTAATCTAAATATGAAAAAAAACCCAAACTTTATAATTAATTCAAGAGAATTAGATTATGTCATCATTAAATAATAATTAATTATCTGCATTTTTTATACCAAATAATCTTACGTGTTTGTCATTTCTTCAGTCATACTATAAAAATGTATTGATGGCCATATTGCTATAAAAATATATTGTTGGTAATTTTACTATAAAAATGTATGTTATTAGATAATGCTAGCCTCAGAGTGACACGTTGCCTCTTCTCAGGTTAAAATTTATTGCTAGGTCTGCTGCTAAGAAAGTTGGTTGAGTGTGTTGTGGATTGGCAATTTTTATCTCCAGAATCTATTTCACATATTTATAACTCTACCATTCGTTCATGATTCAAATATTACTGCCGCGTATAGTCTGGTGTTCTTTCTATATATTCAGAGATCCTAGATAAAATCCAAAAAAGGAATCTGCAATATCATTAGTCCTGACTTGGCATCTCGGCTTCAGTCACTTTCCCACCACCATTCCCTGTGCCTTTTCTATAAATACTTTCATGGTAAATGTTCGGATAAACTCTTTGCTATGTTACCTAGACTTTATGAATTTAAGCGCAGTACTAGATTGGCAGCTAGGTCTCATCATTTTAAAGTTGGAATGGCTCGATATAACCGTGAGTTCTATGTTAACACTTCCTTTTCTCGTACTTTTCGTTTATAGAACTTTCTTTCGGTTCCAAGCTTTACAGCCAAATTTGATCTTCAAAAACTTAAATGCAATATAAATCGTTATCAACTGTCTTCCTTATTACACTTCTGTTGTACTCGTTACTTAATAATGTCTTTCTTTCTTTTCTCATTCTCTCACATTCAGTAATCCCTTTCTGTCTTAGTGGCGTTACTGTCGTGTCTTGGCTGAAGTGATTAAAATAAACCTATTTTAATAAATCCATATTTTCGTTTTGAAGTTGATATCTCATTTGTAGTCGAACTTTCTAATTCTGACCCCCTCATCATCGACAAAAATACGAAACGTGATTTTCTGTTGAATCAGACAAGTCAATACCATTCATCATGAAGACAGAAATGTTCTTTGAGAACTAATATATCTTTTGAGGTTTCACTCTAAATGAGTCTCTGGGCTTCGAACATTTCTTGTGGCTCAAGTTCACTTGAAATCTCAACTTGAACTCTTATATTCAATCTATTGCTAAAGATGATGGAAAAGTTGTTGGCTCAGACTATGGCTCAGGAAAAGATTTAAATCTTTCGACCATGGTTTATATTAACAATAGTCAGATGAGACCCAAAATGAAGAAATGTAGCCATGTATGGGCTGGTGTTTCTCAATCTTTACTTTTCAGTCTTCATAGAGTTTAATATCGTTTTTGTGACCTTGCCATTTTCCACTTTACAATCTCTTCCCAACAGTCACACTGTATAATTATTAGCACTTTGTAAGCCTATCACTTATATATCTCAATTTCTATGGCAAATATTCAGATAAACTCTGTTCTTTAGCTACCATGTCTACTCGCAGAAATAAAGCGAGAAACGTAAAAAAAATTCTCCGTTGTTTATGCAGTCTGTAATGCAGCGTTGGGTGCCTGAGGAACTAACAACATAACACAAGGAGACGCACAACGCAACAGAACTGAAAGCTAACTTGTGGTAGGAATATTACAGATTCCATGAAGTTTCAACTGGTTTTGGTGCATCAATATCACGAAGGAATAATTAAGGTTACAATAAAATCAAGTGTGGAATGTTTGTAAAGTGTGAAGTTAAAATGTTTATAGTTAAAATGCATGCATGCGAGGTGGCGATGAAAAGTTATTGTTCGAACCCGCTTCCCAACATCTATCTATCTATCTATCTATCTATCTATCTATCTATCTATCTCATACTATCATTATCTATCTATCTATCTATCTATCTATCTATCTATCTATCTATCTATCTAACCAAACATACGAATTTTCTTTGTAATGGCTTTTTAGTCTGGTCAAGAATTGTTCAGTACAACTTTATTTTAATAAATACAATAAAAAAAAAAACAAGCAAGAAAATGGTATTTCGAACATTGTCCAAGACTCTTTATCACTATTGTGTTACACCCAGTCTCCCTACGTTTGATTCCATTATTAGCCACAATTCGTGCATGTGCAAACAAAAGATTAGTCAAAACCATTTGAGAAAGATGACTTTTACTGACTGTTAGTCGTGACGAAAAAAAGCTAGTAATATAAATTTTAAAAAATGTGTGATTTTTCTAATTAACAAAAATCTTTTTATTTTATGTTTTATTCGAAGATGCAATGTTAGTATTATTATTAGCACTTTTTGACAAAGGATTTAATTCTCTCTTCTTTCTTTTATTAGTTTTCATCACAACTTTGAGGAAAAGCGTCCAATCTACCAGAGCCATCATTTTTCGAGCCGAGGTGTCTTCTCACTAACGTAGGTCGACGGCCCGACTAAGGTTGCGATAAAAAGCAACTGTAAACGTTTAAATTTAAATCATTCATAACCGAAATGCTTTTTCTCTTTCTTAATAATAATAATAATAATAATAATAATAATAATAATAATAATTTTATATACCGTACATATGAATATTGATGGGTATGTCCTAATCGTCACAAATACGTTGGACACTATTGTAAGTGTAATATGCTGTCTAAGTAGTTCACCACTATCAGTGGTTTACCTACTTCACGCCGCTGGCGAGTATTTTATTTTGTTGATGTTATAAAGATTACCATTTCATTTCCAACCTCCGTTTTAGTTATTCCTTTTCAGCAATATTTTCTAGGTTACAACACTATCTATCTATCTATCTATCTATCTATCTATCTATCTATCTATCTATCTATCTATCTATCTACCGTACCTATGAACACTAATGGGTATGTCCCAATCCTCATAAATACGTTGGACACTATTTTAAGTGGATGGGGTAATATGCTGTCTATGTAGTCCACGACTAGCAGTGGTTTACCTACGTCACGCCGCTGGCGAGTATTGTATTTTGTTGATGGTATAAAGATTACCATTTCATTTCCAACCTCCGTTTTGGTTATTCCTCATTCAGTAACCCTTTCTAGGTTACTGCAAATAATACTACTACAATTACTACTACTACTACTACTACTACTACTACTACTAATAATAATAATAATAAGAAGAAGAAGAAGAAGAAGAAGTCATAATCTGCACTGGAAAATATGCAACTTTTACGGGAAGAAAACTGCAAGAACCTGGTATGAACATGACTCAGACCCGGTTATAGAGATGGGACTTGTTACAATTTTATGGGACTTTACAATGCGCACAGACTGAACAATCAAAGCTAATTGTCCAGACAAAGACCACAACAACAGAATGTGCTTTCTTATTTACATGGCAGTCCCTGCAGATTGTAATGGATCTTTGAAAGTCTTCAAAAACTATAAAATTATAAGGATACAAGTGGAAATCTCAAAACTGTGGCACATGAAGATATCAATAATTCCAATTGAAGTTGAAGCCATTGGTTTTATTAGAAAACTCTTCTTATAGACTAATTGAATGGATTCCTGGTAGCCCATGCCTTAAGGAAATGCAAAAAATTGTGCTCACGATTACAGCTCACACATTACAAAGAGCTTTATCTATGTATGTGATCTTTGCTCCTTTTTTTTAAGAAAAAAGATCAGTGGAAAATGTCATCAAGTTATTTCTGACCATAAGTCTCTTATTAGGACCCGGATGGAAATCAAAGGAAATAATAATAATAATAATAGTAATAATAATAATAATAATAATTGCCCTACACCATTCATGTCTTTCATGAATTTTGATCTTCAATGAGTGGAAGTTTTTACATGTGCTTGTTTTGTCTGAGTGAATATATAGTTCAAGACCACAGAGTCACTTGTCAATTGCCTGACCATAACCAGTTGGGTGAGTCTAAAGCATTGCCCATCTCTGTTCATGAGTGGAATTAGTGACGGTGAACATCATGATCGGGTGTTGAAAGGATTGTTTTTTTTTTTTTCATATTTTCGAGGCAGACAAGACACTTGGGAGTCACATCTACAAACTTAGGAATATTCTAAATCAGACATTGTCTGAGGGGACCGGGTTACCCTACCTGAAGGTATTTTTAGCCAGATTCCAGCTGCAAGTCTACCGTCACCATATTGCGTACGTTTGGCTGTGATGCATGTATTTACTATACCCTGGGTGACAGGCTATTTGCATCAAAAGATCTGTCATCACCACGAGACAAAAACAGCTGAAAACTTATATGTATCTCAGCCTGGATCTATAGTTAAGGGAGCCGTTGCCATCATCTGGTATTTTTCTATCAACACAGATCAAACAATACAAGCAAATCGGCCAGGTATTATTATCAAAGACCGAATAGAAAAGTTTGCACACTGATTGACAAACTGAAAAAAACCCATCTTTGCGAAGGTTTTTGCAAAACTAAGCAAATACAAAGACCTGGAGAGGGGAATAAGAAAAATGTGGTACTTAAAACCTCAAAATGGTCCTACTGGGATTGGAAATTTGGATCTGATAAAGAAAGGAACTCAAGAAGAAATCATTAAAATCCTTGCGGCAACACCTCTCCAAGAATATCTGTCTATATTTCTATGAGGTATTGTAATTATTTACACTATTTACATTGTTCGGATTGGTGTCCTCATCTTCGTTGCCACGACGTTTCGGCTTCATGTCTCGTACCTCTCGCCTGTAGAAATCCCTTCCTCTTTTCCTGTTTCCCTGACAGCTATAACTTCCAACTATTTAAATATAATGTCAATCGACGTCACCAGATGCCCTGATCTATCCATATCCTTCTTTTCATCCTTTCCTCTATCACTCCTATTTGCTCCAACTCTCTGTAACCCCTTGCGTACTAGTGGCTTCCCGCCTTACTTGGGTTGAAACGCTTAAAAAAATCATAATATATCATCTTAGAGATGAAATCAGAAAATAATTATTATTATAATTATTCGAATCATATACTTCTAATATGTTGAGCAAACCTTACATTGCAATAATGCGAATTCTTTTCTTCCTTAGAAATATCCTATCAAAGTGACTTTTTTCTAAATACTCTTTGCATTTGACATTATAAATTTCTAAAAGATTTCGACCTACAAGGTGATTGAAAAGTAATTCCTTATTATATGTATAAGTGGCTAGCCAGAAGTCCTGACCTAAGACCCTGTGTCTTGTTTCTTTGATGTTGGTTAAAAGAGCAAGTCTACGATACCAAGACTTTGGAAGAACTTAAATGGCGGATACAAGATGTTATGTCTTCAATACTACGACAGCTCCTGGTGAAATCAGTTGACGCGATTCCATGTTGGCTCGAGAAATTGGTAGGGAAATCTGGCGCCCATATCGAATTTTAAATTAAACCTCATGCTAAACACTTTCCTCTCATATCCATTTCTTGTAAAAATTAGAGTTAATAAATAAATTATAAGTATTTTAAAATGGGGAGTTACTTTACAATCACCCTGTATTTTGTTTTAAATTAGTATTTTATTCACCTTAAATTTGATTCAATTTTTAACACTGCCTCAACACTCATAATATTATTTCTTTTAACATTCCACGCGTTTTATGTCTTAACATTGAAATACTTTATTGTAGACCTTTGTTCTGCTTCTTCTTTTACCTCGCTTTAACAACTCTGAAAGCAAACCTGTTTATATCCATTATAACTTACTGTCTCTTGAGATTTCTGATTCAAACTTGGGGAGAGTTCGTATATCAAACTAGTAGGTTCTAAGTAAAAAAAATAAGAGTAATAATAATAGTCGCTATATGTAAAATACATATATGAGTTCATCCCAGAGAAAAAAAATAATGTCTAATTTTTTTACTGTATGATTTATTAAATGAAAATGATCAGGCGGAATATAACAAAAACTTTGAAATATAAGTAGTTCTATTGTCGGGTGTACATACGCTGCACCAAATAGATATTAGTACGGGTGGGCTATAGAGACGAAATATTAGAGGTGGGCTATAGAGACGAAATTAAAAAAATAATGGGGAGGTATTTTATCCACCTCATTTGTGCTGAATTGAAGGAAATTGTCCAACGTTTTGAAAATTTTGGAAAATTGAAATGGAGCCGTTCCAACAAGGAGCCCTAACCTACCCGGGACTCAAAAAATCTCTAAAAATTATAACGTATTCAAATAACAGCAATATTCACAAACAAAACTTCATCAAAATGATTCAAATGATAAAACTCTTGGTTCTGTTTACATAATATTGAGCATACATAATTAAAAAATATACACTTACGTAGGCGCCAGATGGGGTCGTCAGTGATGTAATTTGACTTGGTTCATCAGGAAGTTTTGGGTTTTTCAACATCATACACCCCATCACCAAGTTGACCCAATCAGGGGAGATCATTCCCTGGTTCCCCCTCTTAATCAAACGCTAACAGCTACTCAGCCATTTTAATGAATTAGACGAGAAAAGACCACGTTTTCCGTACACCCGATTGGATGTTTATAAGAACCAATCCGCTGTTCGGACTATCTTTTAAATGATCCACGGTGGCGACTGGCTTTTTTTCTTTCTTCTTCGGTGGATAGCAGTTTCAATGAATAACCAAGGATGTAATGTAATGTTCCTAAATTTAACCCTTGTTCCCTAAGTATGGTTTGATGTCTTACTCTAAATATTTGCCGCTTTGATTTTATTTGTATTTATTGTATCACATTTTTATCGTTTAGCCCGATTCTTAACATTAATATTGGTCAGTTAACTTAAATGGATGTATTCGCAAAAGGAAAATAAGTGTCCATAAACATGCCGTATGTTATGACTGTACACATTAATTTCCAAAACAACAGGATATTTTGTAGTTAAAATAACCTACATTTCAGGAAAAAAAACGGGGACAAAATTGTCTATTTTGAATTGAAATTAACGAATACTTCATTCTATTGAGACATGCTATTGGGATGGTATTCTACTGATATATCTTTAAACAATTAAATATTATATATTAAGTCTTACATATGCCATAACACCTTTAAAATAGCTCGAAAATGGAGTAATTCAATAAAAATCTTTTAAAATTTGCTTGAATTGCCGAAAGTTCAGAAAATAACTGATATAATGTCCAATGACAGAACTTAATTCTTTGAGACTGTTCAGTTTTGTTTAAAAAGGTATAAAACGGTCAAAATTTCTAAACTAATATCTATAACAAAGTTATCAAAAAGTATAATTTATAAAAAGTTATGAAAAGTATAATCCTTTAAATAACTTATCAATAACATTATTGTTATGCAAAACAAATACTGGTGTTCTTTTTGTTAAGGCCAATCATATTGCACGGGAGAATTTGAATCTTTAGCGTCTTTTGATCTAGTTTGGCAGGGTATCGCCACAGTTTCTTCATCTTGTCATTTGGCAAGCATTTAAGATAGTCAATCAGGAATCCATCTGTGCCAAACATCAAAGATATTTTTCTAATTTCTGTATAAGCTTTGTAGAAACAACATATAACCATGTATTCAATCATTAGAGTCAAAATCAGCAACGTTTGTGGCACATTTTTAAAGATTTGTTGATGGAAATACGTTCTAATTTTTAGTAATTTTTTGGGGCCCCGGTCAAGTCTGGGCACGTTTCGGTCCGGCTTCATATCAATTTTCAAAACGTTGGCCAATTTCCTTCTATTTGGACACAAATGAGTGGAATAAAATACTTCCCAACATTTTTGAAAAAATTGGTCTCTATAGCGCAACCTTAATTGTAGTCACTTTATTTGCATATACGTGTGAATCAACATATATATTATTATCCGTCCTGGGTATGACGATAAACTACATTCGTGTCCTGGTTAAGACGATAAA